ACGGGGCGTGTAAGGGAACGGGGCGTGTAAGGGAACGGGGCGAGTAAGGGAACGGGGCGAGTAAGGGAATGGGGCGTGTAAGGGTACGGGGCGTGTAAGGGAATGGGCGTGTAAGGGAATGGGGCGTGTAAGGGAATGGGACGTGTAAGGGAATAGAGCGTGTAAGGGTAGGGGGGGAAAGTAGAAGATTGGAACTAGGTTATTATGTTCGTTTGAAGAGCTGGAGCAGGCATGATGGGCCAAATGGCCTCCTCCTACACAATAACAATTCTGTGATTCTGATCCAATCTGTGTGCATTGACTAATGTGCCTTGGAGTAGTGAGGCTTTCGTGGCTGGATATGTTAACTACACTGTTCTACATTCTGTGATGGGCCCCAGCTTTAATATTTGTGTTGCATCTAACAGGGAGAGTTAATGCGTAAACATATTCCTGAATAAAACATTAGACCCCCGCTTCAGCCCCTCAGCTGCTTTCGCTCTCACCCATTTTCTTTTCCTATACCCAGTTGCAATTATTCCAATGTTCTTCCCGTTGTCCACTAAAGGCAGTGAATCTTTGAAGATATTCTAGTTGATTTGGTGCACTATGTTGCAGAATTCTAAGCACTTGGTCTGATTTTCACATACAACGTGAATGTCTGGCAGAGCTACAAAACTTCAAGGCCAATCCAGACATGCATTTCAGTAAACCTGACAAAGGGACAGGAATAGGCATCCTTGACAAGCCACATCAACAAAATGCTCATCATTCTTAAATGACAGGACCAAATTTTTATCCACTGAATCTGCTGCTCAGCCTACCCAGATAATGGAAAGCAAGCTTTAAGAAAGAAGTTATTTGATCGATATGCGTAACAGCTATAGAAGCTTAAGTGAGATATGTACAATATGGTTTGTCCACAAGGCTCACTGCCAGTGCGTTGTGTACACGCGGCTTAAGACACAAATTCTTTTACACCCTTATCACTGGCCAGTTCTACACAACACCACTCAGCCAAATGATAAGGTGAATTGCTACAACCGGTGCTCAGCAAGTTTTTTCATTCAGACAGTGAAGGATCCCTTCATATCTACAACGGCCAGACAGGACTTGAATATATATTGCAATGCAGTGCCAATAGTTTATTTGACATTGCGAGCCTAAGCACCAACATACCACTCAAGGAAGCCATAAACATCTACGCTGCAGCAATATATCATCACAATCTAGACCCACCACCATTGTGTGAATCGGTATCCATAGATCTTATGAACTAAGCCATTCATGCAATTGAGATCAATTTCAATGACATCATATATGCTCAAGTAGTTGGTGTTGCCTTGGGATCCCTGCCCGGCCCAACCCCGGCAAATATCTTTTGTTGGATTCATGGGAAATGTGTCTTCAATGGAATAACATCTAACCTACCACCTGCATACTTCTGATATGCAGATGTTAATGTTGCTATATTTCAATCTGCAGCAACATGTAAGAATTTCCTCACGTGTCTTGATGGACTCAATCCTACACTTAAAATGGAACAATCAAATGAGCTCCTGTTCCTCATTGTCATTGTTAAGAGATCAGCCAGGGGGTTCTCAAATGCTTTCTGCTGCAAGTCTACCTTCACTGGTCAGTATACATGGGGCAGTCCTATAAGTCATGTTCTAGAAGACTCATCTTATTGGTAACTTTGTAAATAAGGCCCCTGTGCAAACCTGATGCTGAACTAGGATGGCTTTGATAGGGCCTGTTGGATAATAGCTACTGTGATTGGATCATTCTACACTGTAAATCATGCTTACACATGAAAGACCCAAAACAGTCACTCTTGGTCTTCAACCTCAGATTACCCAGGGAAAGTAATCTGAAAGGTTTGACCAACAGGTGGAAGTATTACACAGCAGCAACACCAGTAGTTTTCGCCAATAACAGGATTCTGACATCAAGCCAAAAAGATGTTCTGTCTGTCAAACAAAAGGGTAATGTGGTTCATGAATTTCAGTACAGGGGTCGTGTCAGGTATGTGGCTGTATGCTTTCAAAGACTGATGAAAGCCCAGTGGTCAGCACCTTCCAACA